GGATTTGAGACTTTAGTCTTTGCAACTTTACAGATCTTCTTTATGCACCAAGAGCTTGTAACACTCCAAAGAGAAAGGGAAAATTGAAATCGCATCATATGACCCCTTTAAATATGAGCTTAAATATGCAGATACCCTGGTCTGGAAAAAAACGTCAATTCAAGTTTTTAGGTAGGCCTATATAATTGTCCGGACCTCGGCTGGTGAGGAGGGTTCATTACTGGACCTCAAGCAATTTCAGTTGAAGACTCCTGCTCTAGATCAACATTCGCCACGATTCTGTGCTCATGGGAGTCTCTTAAAAGATTTTACATACCCAAAGTTATCAAGACTTCGAAAGGTAGTCAGTGGAAGTACAGTGATGTGTCAGAACTCATAAGTATTACAGTGACAACTCTATTTGCAAGAAAAATATGAGGGCTCGTATCATACAAGTTTCAAAACTCTGCTCTCTTCTGTCATATCCTTGTCTTTAATTTTTGGCCTACTTTTTCAACTCCATGGGTTAAAGCAACCCCACTAACTCGATATCCCCCCTCCTCCCCTCCCCCTAGTTGTGGACTAGTTTTGAGAAGAAATTGGGCGGATTTTGTTGTGAGAACCTGGCAACCCCGTTCGTATTGTTTTTTTGCGCATGCGGGTCAGTTCAGAACCATGATCTGTTCACACTGGAAATCTGATATTCGCCACATTTAAAACAACAACGTGAATAGCTATACAAAAAATCAGATTTGAGCAAAAAACGGAATTGGCTCGCGCTAAGGCTCGCGGTGTGAACGTAGCAGAAAACAGCACGCAAGTAACGAGTTCTATTTTTCGTCTTCTTGAGCAAATACACACAAAATGTCAGAATGGCTGTCTTGACGAGTGTACAAGTAAACAGTCTGTAACATCTTAAGTAAACGTAAACAGTTAAGAAAATATCGGATGTGTGTCAATATAATGGATCCGTGTATTTCTTATGTTACTAATGTTAATCAAACAACAAAAGAAAAGTAGAGAAAAACTCACTGCTCTTGTCTTAACTAAACATAACTTGTCTTAGGTATTTTTGTATATTTACTTCATAGTAATACAGTTTTCACAAACACTGGTAAGTTTATTTAGGTAATTTATATCTTTGTATCTAATGGTCTCTCTGAGGGCTAAGCCCCCCTGAGGATGAAATCCTAGAACCGCCCCTGGGTGTTGTATAGAAGATGGGGGGCAAAAGGGGCATTTCAATGCCGCCCACACATTCAAAAGCAAATATTAATGCATAATCAAATTTTTTACCTACGAAGAAAAATACAAAAAAATCTAGCTTAATTTTTTGTTTTTCCTTTTCTTAAACAAACCGAAAAAAGAAACCGAAAATCAAACCGTTTCTCATTTCTCTTTACGCTTTTTAAGTAGAAAATCAAATGACCAGAAGGTACACGGACCTCGTCACCTGGCATGGTTTTGTATACGGGTTCATATTTGGATCCCAATCTGGATATTCTTTAGCTGGATTGCATTTACAACTGCATTCCAATGTGTCTGAGGTGTGATCGGATAAAAAACATAAAACAATTGATGGGATATTGTTTATTAAATGAGGAAACCAGATAGTAAGACTGTCACTTTAAAATATTAAGCATTACACGCTGATTGCTTTTTCTTTTTTTTTTACTGACGTATAAAAATAGAGCATGACAGAACATGAACAACCCACTTTGTCAAAGTGGTGGATAATTATTATATGTAGCACAATCTTTGTATTACAAATTACTTGTATGCAGTTTATCTAATGTGGTTAGAATCTGTAATATGATGATGTAAGAAAAATAGCTGCAACGTGATGCAATAGAGAGAGAACAGAAACAAAAAAGTAGGAGTAAAGTTTTCATATGTGGTCTAAGCAATCAGATGCATTTACACTTGGGCAAGACTCCTGAGGTTTGAGTGATTGGAATACTCATCTTGAATGCATCTTGGAGGACATGTTCACATGGTCTTTTCATGAATGGATAGTTATCTGATTAGTTAATAAATAACCCCAAAATTGTGCTAAAAGTAAGTGGGAAAAAAAGGTTAAAGGAGACCATGCAAATGAGAACAGAGAGATGGACAAAGCAAAATCTTGTCTATAGAGAACTGTGTAACTCATTTTTATTGCCCATTGATTTATCTTTTCTTCTCTACCACCTGCCTTTATTGCTTTCTCATCCTTTGTGTTTTTCTGTATGGTAGAAGAAATGCAGGGCTTCTTTCAGAGAGTGTCAATGCTATTAAATTAATAATCACATATATTAAATAGATGAACAATGCGTTTCATTTATGCTTTGCCCAAGCATTGATTTATTGTTTTCCTTGAGAAACAGTAAATGTAATGACCATGAGAAATCATCATTAACGTGTTCTGTTCCAGTGTTTATTAGAAACCTTGATAGATATTTAAACAGCTCTGTTCACGCTGTTGATCTATGTGAAGCGCTTGAAGAGAAAAACATTTCTCTATTGGTTAAAGGTGGTTAAAATTGGTTTGAGTTTTGTTTCACATTGAGGCATGGGTTTATTCCATAGCAGAAACAGAAGAGAGACGTCTAAATGCCTTTCTGTTTTGCAGTGTTTATCGTCTCCATTGTGGAGATTAGGATGTTGGACTGGTCTTGGGCGTCCTGAGAGGGGTCTGAGGGGTCAGATTGGAGGGTCATGTGATCGATGAAGCAGGCAGTGAGGAGACAGAAGGCTTGACTGGAATCAGATGAAGAAGCTTCTCACTCAATATCAACCACACACGATGCATTCAAAAATCACTGAAAAGTCACACTGTTGGAGATGCATAAATAGAGTGTGAGGAAGCACAGCATCATTTTTAAGGCATATTGATGAAGATGACCATTTTTAGACAGAAATGGCAATTAAATGAGTCACATTTGGCAATGAATAAGGGATACAATTATATAAATGTCAGCCTTTTTTCTCATACAGTGCTTGGGCAGTCTGACAGTTTAATAATGGTCTTGCAAGACTCTTAAACTTGTGTGAAACATTTTTCAGTGTAGTTTTTGTAGCTTATTTCACATTTTTACACACGTTCCGTATATAACACATATGCCACAGATGTCTGAAGCCATTTTTTTCCACAAATGATCTCAGTTGGATAGACATACTCAGTATGGCTTTCTGCACATCTTGTCATCGTCTTCTACAAAGCTTGATAAAACGCACCAGAACTATGCAACAACACATGCCATGTATCAGAACAGAAACGGTCTTCCTTCACCAAGACTTCTTTTTCTGTTTGCAAATGAGACATTTCACCAAACAGTTCCTGCTTTTATAAAGGGTGCATTTGATTACAAAGACTCGCCACCCTCACAATTGAAATCTTGAACTCAGTTCATTGCACTGATTGAAGGACAAAACCAAACTAAAAACGTCTTTTCGCTCCAAGCATCTGCCTTTCTTTGGTGGTGACACTGCGTGACGAATCATTAAAAAGAGACGATATTTGATGTGCAGTTGTGTGTTGCATGGTTACCGGCGAGGATTGAGATTGTAAGGTGTCAGAGTGTTGATTTTCAGTCTGTTAAGAGGTATCGGTGTGGAATTGTGCTGCAAGGCTTTCAGTTAAGTGCACAAATCCTTTAGATTAATCCAAAAGCAGTCATCAAGCTCTGACATGGCCATTATGAGACCTTCTCGCAGACACAGTACTTTTCTCTGCCTCTTTATGGTCCCTTCACCGCGTGTTAGGTTCTCACGTCTTTGCGACATGAAAGTCTAAAACTGGAATTATTTATGGGGTCAAAGACGCATATTATCTCTGTTGAGGTAATGAAGTGGAAATATTGGAAGGGAAAGAGAAAAGCTCAAAAGATCTGAAGATTGAAAGAGAGTGAGAGATGAAACGCACAAAAGGTGAGCACACGAAAGAAGAAGGTAAATGGAGAAGATATCTGATTCAAAAAGAGAGAGCGAGAATAGAGTGTTAGCAGATTGAAGTGTACTGGGCATTCGATAGCAAGATAATATACTCTAAAGGTCAGAGTGGTGCCGGATTGATTCAGCGAGCTATACTTGACACGAGCCTCAGTGCTCACTGAAATAATGTGTCTGTGGCAAATCAAAGCCATGTCTACAAAGTCATCACGCTGACATCGTCACCTTAGTGCCAGAGAAGCACGACCTGAGGGACACTCCAGGCGATGTGCTTTCACAGCCCAACTCGCCTAAAAGTAGTTCACCCTGATCTGGGAACAGGGTTATTGTTTCCTGCAAATTGTAATAGGCTAAAGTGATCCTTGATCAGAACTCGAGGTAATTCTCAATTACTTTCTCTGCCTTCGCAGTGCTGCTGTTGGGGATTTTCCTGTACACGCGCTGGCGGAGCTATAAGGGGCTGAAGGAGGGCGTGTATCACGTGTCTGCCCACCATGACGGATGGGAGGACATCCGAGAGAACGTGCTCAACTACGACGAGGAGGGCGGCGGGGAGGAGGATCAGGTGAGCGCATGACTTCTGTTTCCAAAATTGATTTCAGTTCACAGGTCAGAGAATCCGACGCCTGCTTCCAACACAGGAGGACAACTGAGTGCTCAAAGTTACTATGACAACTTGTACAGGTTGTCATGACGCCCGGTCAGAGGCACCCTTGTCAGTTTGTCTCTATGACAACCTCTAACATTTAAAACATGCGCTCTGATGCTGATGACAAGTGGCTTCGCTGAGTACTGAGAGAAAGTGTGACATCTTGTTTTGTTCGAAATGTGGCTTTTTATTTCCAGAAACCCACCAAACAAGAGGTTTGGGCTGTTTGATGTAACTGCCTGCTCCTCTGATCTCTCTGAAGTATGTGGGTGTAGATATGTTGCAGGATCTTTTATTCTCATATCTGCCGTGTGTAAAATCCTGTTACATGATTATCAGATGCATAGTGGTGCTCTGATCCTCTCCATCTGATGAGGCTTCACACATCTCCCTCATCATGTAATCAATTACGCCCACACCCGTGTCACCCACATCTCCCTCTCAGTCTCTCTTCTTCCTCCTCCTCTTTGCCTATTATTCCCTTAATGGGCATTATACGTTGTTCTTCCTCCCCCGAGAGCTGCACTGCTAAATAACGAGAGGAATCATCCTCGGTGGAATGGGATTAATGTTGACGCTCAGTGGGAGAAGGGGACCGGTGTCTTGTTTTGTTGTGTTGACTGAGTGTGTAATGACGGGCTGTGCTCTTCTCTGTGTCTGTCAGGATTCTTCCTCTCAGGTGCAGGAAGACGCAACACAAAGGTGCTAATCTGAATGCAGTGTTAGCAACTTGAATCCGGATTAATGCCATTAACAGTTTGGGGGATAATAAACTACATGATTAAGAAGTACAGAAAAGCAGCTTATTTTGTCAGTGAGCTTATTAGTCGTAGCAGTTTTTCGTGACAGACGTTGTTATTCCACCAGTTCCTAAATGTAATGACACGTTATGTAACGCTAATGATCTTGTTATTTGTCAGCACTTTATGCATCTAATTTCCACCTCTCTCGCTCTCCTTCAGAACGCCTATGACATGGCAGAGCTCCAGAAGTCCCTGCAGCCCAGCCCGGCCCAGTCGGTGCAGTACAGCCGATCGCTAGCCATTCACCACCACCCTCCCTCCCAACAGCAACACTTTTGCCAGCCTGACCCCTCCTCCAGAGCGGCTACGGCCACCACCACCTCCTCCATCTCCTCAGGAACCGCCACCATCCGTAGGGACGTACCCCCCTGCTGCTCTCCGGCTCAAGGCCAGACTGCGAATCCCAGCCGAGCGGCCCAGCTGGCCCGCAAGAGCTTGTCGTTCTCCAGCCAGGACCTGGCCCGCTACCTGTGTGAAATTATCCGTGATGCCGACCAGCACCCGGAGACGGCGCCCTTTGACTCCCTGCAGGTCTTCTCCACGGAGGGGGGCGGCTCGCTGGCCGGGTCACTGAGTTCCTTCAGCTCTGCTGGGCTGGAAGAGGGAACGGCGGCAGGTCACGAGTGTTTGAAAGAGTGGGGGCCGCGCTTTGAGAAGCTGAAAGCCCTCTATGAGCGGGCCGAGGGCAGCGACCTCTAAAGAACTGCCAGGAAGAGTTCCTGCAGTGCGAGGAGAGGAGGGAGACCACTAAGGACTTGTCTAAAAACCAGAGGGATTTTTCTTATGCCAAAAATCCCTACGCTTTGGCTTTCTCTGGCGAGTGACATTTGGGACTCCCAATGAGCAGCACATGGGAAGTGCTAATCCAGGGCACAGCAAGTTGTGGTCATGGCAATTTTTAAACCCAAAGCGGCATCTTTATTAAAGTGACTTGTGGATGACAATGATTTTAGTGGAACCATTTGTTGTCTTTGGGACCGACACTGGCGGAGCGCTTTGGACGTGTTCTATGTCTGTATGGTCTATATGTTCTTAAATAAAAGTAAGACAGGAAGAAAAATAAACTGCCGTGCTCAGATGCGACTAGGAGGGGGGTTGGCCTTCTCCTTTTATGGGCCACTTTCTGAAATCAGTTCGCCGCATGTTCTGTCAGAGTGGCCACTTGTGTTCATCAATCATAACTTCATAGTTGGATACTGTTGATTTTTTTTCTATTTGCTCAGCCTTCCGCTTAGATTTTATTCACTCGGATGCGAGGATGAAAGAGGAAGTCTGCGGGAAAAAAACTGAAGATGTGTGAAAAACACAGAGGAAAATGAAACACAAAGCAGCTTTATTGTTTGGCATTTTAGGAGACATTCCTTGGGAATACAAATTATGTCCTCTCTTTCTAGCCAAAAAGGAGTGAAGGAACGGCTGGAATACAAATGTGGCTGAGTGGCTGGCATGAGATGGAAGTTTTCTGTAACTGAAAACTCTCTTGACTCTCACGCTTTACTGAGCGGTAGCAATCAGAGTCTGCCAAACTAAAGGATAGTCATTAAGACAAATGAACAAATGTGTGTGTTGTTCCATGTGATCAACTCAAACATGATATCGAGCTCTGCTGGAGGTGCTTTCAGCACTGGAATGAGCTTACAGACCAGTTTGCTTCCTCCCGACAGTATCATATTATTAACCAAACCAGCTTACCCGACCATATCGTCATTTCCTGTTCTACTATAAATAACTCCTTGTATCCCATCACATTATTCGGCACTGCAGTGAAAGAAATGGGCCTCGGCACCAGGTGCATTTAGGGCGTGGCGGTCCAGCGGTTTCAGAGCCTGAGCACCTCCCATGTAACATGTTTTATGAGGCTGCATGGGGTGAAGGAAAAGCAAGGTAAGCTTGTGTGTGCAAATGGAATAACTAAAAGTCTCCCGCCGTGAGGCCTCAAATGCCAACCTTGTATTTTATGCATTTTAAGGCAGTTTTTTGCCCTCCTTTTATCATTTCAGTTATTTATTTATTTATATTTTTCTGGAGAATGCCGTATGTGGAGCATGACAGGCTGGCTGAGGAGAGTGCAGCGAGTAGGAGTGTGTTAAAAGACATCAGAGTGCTAATCCTAATGTGAACTGATCGCTCACTGTCATGCTGTGAACCAAAGGATCAGGGGAGTTGGAAAACTCGATGGAGAAGTCGTCACTCTTATTAAGGATCTTAAAAAGTGCCAATATTTCCAAAGGCAGTAACAAGAGAATAATAAAAAAAAAAAAAGGTTCAAGTTGAAGCTAAGAAATATAGCTGGAAGTGCAATGCTTGCTATTTCATAGAGTTCAAAAGAGGCCAAGGGGATTGGCGCTTGGAGTCATCCTTGTAAGGGGATTGGGGAGGATCCAGTGTGAGGTGAGAGTATTCATGAATGAAGCATGATGGGCTCTGTCTTTGAATCACAGATATCCTTATCTTACAAAACCAATTCCTCTTCGATTTTGAACCAATGCCACCTGTTTATTTGTGTGGTGAATATATACAGTACTCTATTTTGTGAAACAATGTTTTTACCTCATTTGTGCATATCAAAACAGAAGCAATTGCTTTTTAAAAATATATAAAGGGATCTAATTCTGTTTAAACCTTTTTTTTCCATGTATTATTTAATCTTTAAGTTGGTAAAAGTATATTGACATTTTGTATTTGCATTGCTTTTTTTTCTTTCTCAATAAATGGAGTTCTTCTGTTACGGCTTCAATTATGTTAAATACTGCTATATTCAAATGAAACAGCAGGGTTTTAAGTCTCTTGATGAATAAGTGGCCTATTTTATATGGAAACGAAGCTGTAATTAGTTTGGGATAATGCTGAACATGAAATGAGAGCGGCCTAAAATCTCTGACCTGTATTTCTCAAAATGCCTTTGTGATTTCACTTCAAATGACAGAAATGCTTTTGTAGAAACAGAGATCTGCAGCATCCACCATACAAATCTGCTTTAATACAAAAATGGAAATGTACACCGAACATCCAAAGACAAAACAACACTTTTGATGGAAACTATCCATCTGCATGAAATACCACAGTAACAAACTAGTGCAATGAACTGTACCAAAGAACTCTTACGGTTAAACAATGCCAGCATATGAAAACAAAGCACACAGTTCCATAAAGATCATCTCCTGATGAACAATGTGTTGTGACAGAGACGTTGTGTGAAGCAAAGGTTCACGTGTAAATTGTCTGACAGGTAAGATAACAATAGTGGTTTCACCATATTATAATACAATCACAGAATTACACGGAGGAGCACTCGTGCTACAAACCGAATTTGCAGAAAAAGAAATCCCATGTTTATCTTTAAACACTTCAGAGTTCTTCAAAATGGTTATGTACCTGTGCACAAAGAAATTCATCTAACATCCTGGGGAAGAAAAAACACAGCAGCAAAGATCTAATGTAGGTAAATTTTGGTAGCACTTGAGGCCACTCATTTGAAGGTCTTTTGAATGCATGACTCATTAGCGCCGCAGAGCTTATCCAAAAATGGAAAGGCACTTTCGTACACTAAACTTTAGAGCTTAAGATGGAAAAAAAAATAGCATCATAACATTGTTGACCATTTAATATGTTTAACTCCGTTTTAAAAAGACTCAAACTGAATATTTCAACTGAACTACAACTTCACAACGGAGGATTAAGGAAATGTATTGAAATGTAATGTCCCTGTTTACAACGTCAAATGTCTAAACCCTTTTTAACCATCTATAGTGTCAAAGTGATGACCTCCTACTTGCAGAATTAAAGCACAAAACATATACAGTAGTAGAGTCCAAAAGTTCGACACCACATTAAAATATGAGAATAAAAATGAAATTTAAATTTGATTAAGATTTTGAAATGCAATTCACCATTTCTAGGTCAAAGTAAATTTGTGACACTTATTCTTACAATGAGTATTTATGGCATGTTCTCTACGCCCATGAGTAAGGCTGGTTCTTGAGTTTTTTTGTTTTTTTAAGCAGCCAGACAGTAGGATGTGGCCCAACTTAACACCGGCCAACAGTTTGGCAGATATAAAGACAACACTACAACAGCCACTAATTATCCCAAACAGCTTGTGTGAATTCCAAATACAAAGCATTTTTTCCCCATTGCTATTTTCTCTTTTCATTTAGTTTGCGACAGGAATGAGGCTGTGAAAGCAGTCATTGTGTCTTCACCTCACATTTTCTTTAAGTAACAAATGTGTGTGAAAGAGCCTAAATGTATTTGGTGGAAGGGCATGTGTAGAAAGAGATGCAATGATCAGAGAGAGAGAGAGAGAGAGAGAGAGAGAGAGAGCGCAAGCGGGGTGCAGACTGTGAGAAAAAGAGATCCCCCCCCCCCTCTCCATGTTAAACTTGAGCTCCTGTTGCGGCAGACCGGCTCAGAGCAGATTTACACACACACAAACACACACCAAATCATCTAGTGCGTGCTGGCTCAATCAGGCATCTCTCCGATCTCTCTCATGCACACACACACACACCTGCTACTATCACACACTCACTGAACATTCCAGATGGGGCGTTCAGCCATCCAGTGAAGGTGGGCGACTGCTGTTGAGGAATGAGCATTACGGACTGTTCTCAGCTTTGTTTTTTCTTTTTGAGTTTCTTGAGTTTGTACACATGAAATGTCTTGTTTTTGAACACTCGTGTGAAGAGGGTTGAATAAGGAGGCATGTCGGTCTTAATGGCCTCACAAAACCGCGGGTGAGATGCCGAGATGAGGTCCGGCTCATTTTCACCTGGCCCGTCCATGATCTGTAATAAAAACACACACAAATCGGTTTTGAAATGGTGCTTGTTTTCCATAAGATGATATTTCTCTACAGTGAAAAATACAGGGCAGATTCTCAGATGAACAAGTGTCTCAGAAGTCTTCTTTTAAAGAGCAGTCCTTAAAAGGAGCATTCTTTATCTTTCAAATCTTAGAGAAATTGTGCCCTGAGGTTTTTTTAAACATTTACTTTGAGATATATTCCCAAATTAACAGAAAGGCCTTGAAATGCTGCTGTGAGATCATTTAAGCACTCAGAGATAGAAAGAACTGCCACCCATGGGAGAGAGCAGAGTGGAATTGGAAAAAAATAAAAAATAAAAAATAAAATCCCACACAACACATGGCTGTTTCTGGGCCATCAGTATTGCATATATACTGCTTCTTCAGTAATTCTGTCTGCAGTTAACAAGCTTTAATTAAACCAGATAGATTTAATCAAGGTTAAAATAACATATGCACACAGAAGATGTTACAAAAGTGTATCTTATTCAAACTGCTGGAGGCAGACTGAGGGAAAGAATCGGGCTACATCAAACGAGTAAGTCAAGTTTCACTGACTGCTCGAAGTCGGATCAGAGGAGCAAGTGAGGCAAACTTCTGTGAGATCTTTCAAAGGCATGGCATTCACCTCAGACGCATGAATGACAACTGCTGACAGGCTATTTTCAGATGGAGCTCTTTGCTAGGATGCGGGGGAGATGGTTTTTTTAAGCTGACGTGTGCGCAGATATGAACACAAAGTGCTGCAGCTTAGAAAAGTTGCTGCTGCTGCTTGCTTTTGTCAGATATTATGCACAACTGTAATCAACTACAAAAGAACAATCAAGCTACCCAAGCGTAAAAAGTCACTTAAGCTAGATTGCACACAGGGTGAAACAGTATTTAATAACTATGAGCTGTGGGTGAGTGAGAACAAGATGTGACAAAATGAAAAATGTAAGCATCAACTTTACACAAAAACAGTTAAAGACATTTAATGTGAGAAATTAAAACACCTCAGAGAGCTGAAGAGATTTGCAAGATAAAAAATAATCAAAGCGAGACCAGTGAGCTTAGCATCTAACTCAAATGATATTTGTTTATAGCCACGTGAAGGATTCAGTAAAGGGCAAAGTTGTTCGTTTTAGCCGCTCTGAAAAAGCCTCTGGTTCTTGCAGAGAAACGTTCATTTAAATGGAACGAGTGGTGTGTGTGTGTGGGCATGAACTGGAGATGCTGTTTGTGACCTACATGTCCGTTTGCCAGGTCGAGCAGGTCCCTCAGCCTACAGCCACGGCTGTGCCTGCGCTCGTAGCAGATGCTGTCCTCCAGCACGATGTAGTCCGCTCCAACCGAACCGAGCTCTTTATGAACCTCCTCAGCAGACTGACGCGCATAGATCTGATATACCTGCAGGGAACGAAAGGGCAAAGATGGGAGAAAGATCGATATTAGGTGATGTATCTTAGAACTTAAAGGCTGCATTTGTTTGTGCAGTAAAAATGTACTGCTAGGTGGTCCAGATTAAAAAACAAATTGTTAGGGAGAGAAGATTTGGGAAGAGATCCCATCAGAACTAATCTCCTGTATAGTGGGGGGGGGCATAATTTAATTGTAAAGTACTAATCTACTTGGCGGGACAAAAGTTAGAGCAGTGGTTCCCAACCCTGGTCCTGGAGGCACCCCAACACTGCACGTTTTGCATGTCTCCTTAATCAAACACACCTGATTCATTCAGGTCATCAGCTCATTAGTAGAGACTCCAAGACCTGAAACTGGTGTGTCAGAGAAAGGAGATATGCAAAATGTGCAGTGCTGGGGTGCCTCCAGGACCAGGGTTGGGAACCACTGAGAGTACACTTGCTGCATGTCTCATAAAAGGTTCAAAAGTGTCAACATTTGGGAGAATGAGCAGAGCAGAACTCAAACAGGCTGTTATGTCTTAAATGAAAGTAAACAGTTGGGAGAATATCAGATGTGTAGCAATATATTGGACCCATGCATTAGGTCCTAAAGTGACGGCAGTCTAATATATCTGCTAGTGTCCGTGTCCTTAATTTTACTGAAATGAAGACCATGTTTTGGTTGCTTTAGGAGAAGTGGTTTTATTTCATTTTAAGATACATGAAGGCATATGTCACAACGACCTTAATATCATTCATATTTAACAGGTTAATAGATCTTTTCTCAAGAAGCCTATAATGAGTTTGGAAACTTTAGAGAAATGCTTAATACATTAATTAAATTCATTAATATAACTAAAACTGTTAGATCTTATGATATTTAGTTGACTAAAACAATTCAGATGACTAAAATATGACAAAGTGGCATTTTAATCTAAAGACAATGACTAAAAATAAATACAAATTTGCTGTCAAAATTACCACTGATTTGGAGGACGTATGTCACTGGTTTGGCACTGTTGGAAGGGCCCACCAGCAGAAATATCACTAAATGCTTTTTAAACTTACAGTTTACAGCTATTAAAACATGTTATTAAATAATTCTGCATATAAAGAAGGCATTTAAGTAGTGCATAGACAGTATCACAAACCATGAAAATATATTTACAGTATTTTAATTAATGGAGCAATATGGCAGCATAATTGAGGATGGTAAGATTAGGTTTGACATTTCCGTATATCACATGGATATGCGGTTCAATGTGGCAGAAAGGCTGCTGTAAACTCAGTGGTAGGGTTTTTGTGCCCTTTTTATTCATAGTTGTTGACAGACTATCACAACTAAAACTCATTTTCTCACAAGTAACGGTTGCATACTATACAGAGAAGAGAAGAGAACGCTCTGATGAAATCCATGGCAACCAACCAAACAACATTACTGTTACAAGAATCGCCAATCTAATAAGTCATAAAATAATATTGGAAAAATGAATGATGGATTCATAATGTACTTGCTGATATGATGTATAGGTATTTATAGAAAATTTTCCATGACAAAATGTAAATAAATACTTTTATATACAAATATTATTTTGTATGGATTAAAAAAAAAATGTTGCATTTTCTCAAATGAGGCAATAAGGGAAGGATTGCCTCATCACCTCAGTCTGATGAGAAAATAATCAACATTGCAAATATCAAATATTATGCAAAGTGAATTACAATAATGATCAAAGCAATATGCACTTTGTCTCCTTGAGCTCATTGTTTCAGGAGAGCTGCCACCATGCTGTGATTGGCTGATCACACTGTCATTCTGGCAATGCACTAATGCCCACCTCTCATGCTCGCAACATATCTGCAAATCAGCACGAAGAGGTAAATTCGGTGGAAATGAATGGACTAATTACAAAGTAAACATCTCACCGACTCTGATATTTTCACTTTGGCCTTACATGAATTGAAAAGATTGAAACATGATCATGATGGATCCACTTATTAACTAGCAATCAGCTTAGTTAAATTAAAGCTGATTCTACTCTCAAACTTTCATTTAAAACTCAAGAGTTTACTTTAAATCTCCATAATAAGACATAAAAGCTACATACAATATGCTTGTTATTGTGGTATTGTTGTTATTAGGGGTGTGCAGCGAAGCCAAATATTTCTGCATCTGTATGTGTTGCAACAACAAAATTAGCTTTATTCAGATAAAATCGAATGTGGGTGAGGGTTAAACTGGAAGTTTGTCCAAACTATATGAAAACAGATCAAAATACAAAGGTACAAGAACTACAATCCCATGAAGCACTGCTAATGATACGGTCTAATTAAATGGAGAAATATAAAACTTTATTTAAAGATGCTACAGAGAGAGAGAGATTTTTATTATAAAATATTCAAGTAGTTTGAGAGCATTCACAGTGCGGGTGCTAAAGGGATTCTCTGATTCTCTGGTGTAGATTTCTCTTCAGAATTATGGGTAATGTAGTTTTTCACCAGGAATTTCACTGTTGAACACAGCATAAAAAATGAGTTGAAAATGCTGACTGATGCTTCAAGAAAAGCATATACCAATAATTAACAACATTGTACTGTAGCTCATAGTAGGTTTGCCTTTAAAGGTTTGCAAGATACTGTTAAAAATCAATCCCATTATTTGTTTAAATTGATGAACCCCTAGTTATTTTTGAAGCAATGTGGAAAAAGTTTGATTTGACTTGATTTTTAAAATAATGTTAATATAAACATACACAATTATAATAGTATTGGTTACTTCTTTATAGTTTAAAGTGTAAGGTAAATGTTCAGTATGCATTTAAGTGGGAAACAGTGTGAACATCAAACTTGAACCAGTACATACATTTATATTTTGCGGTGATAAAACCCAAACCAAGAGGGGACTTCCTCCTGCCTCCTCATTTTAAAGTCCTCACACACCCTTGCAACCTCTCTACACGTCTCCAGTTGGAGAACCTTTAATGTACTGATTTGATGGGTAATGTGTGTCTTTCTGTTTAGATCAATTCTCATCAATTCTCTGAATGAAGCAGGAACAGTAGAACAGGAGTCTGGTCTTCCACCAACTGTTCAGATCCATATTTTCTCCTCCTCTACACTCATGAACAAATGAGAGAATGAACATCTGATCATCAGAAACCTCCTCTGACTTTGACCACCTCAAAATTCTGCCTCACAAACTCGAGCAATGAACCTCTGCTACAGGCAAATGTCCTGTAGTGAAGCCTAAGGAAACATGACGTTTCTTTCAGACAGAAATAGAAGAGAGTGACAGCTGATACAATCAGAATTACAGCTCAAAACAGACGAGTCAGTGTACATTACACATTTTAATGAGGATGTTTTTATAGACAAGTGCCCTCCCTGTTTCTTTTATGCACCAGGACATGGAAGCCACGCCACATATCACAGCAGTGCTGTGGAGTTTATTTCACTTCATAAAGATGCCCACTGGTGTCAACTTCCAACCACCCCAATTAGAAACCTAATTAAACTAATTATGCAAAAAGTCACACTTCTGCTGATGAGGCCAAGTATATAACACTGCATATGTCATTAAGAAAACCTTAAAGAGGATTTATGAACCATTTACTCATGATCTCCTTGATACGGCCCATTTGTAAGCTCATCATTAAGATTATCAGCTGATTTGTAAAGGTACACACTTTTAGACTCCAAAGCATTAACTCTTTCTAACAGTATCTAAAGAGTTTTTAGTGTTAGTATTAGCTTCTGACTGATTTATTTCTGTTTCATTTATTTCAATTTACATAATGAGGCATGACTGCATAAGAAAAGATTTGATTCTTTGTTCAAATGCTTCTGAGAAGTTTCATTTTATAATGCAGACCTGGGTCTGACTGACCATATGTTCAGCTCTGCATCAAAACATTATTGTGCATATTTTATGTAAATAATCTTCATTAAAGGGGTCATATGATGTTGCTAAAAAGAACATTATTTTGTGTATTGGGTGTTAAATGTATAGCATATTTTTTAATAAGGCAACAACATATGATAGATACGATAGGACAAAACAAATACAGTGCAGCACGTATCTAGATACAGTCTATGAGCACGAAGTGCTTACAATGTGCGAATCCGGTGTGCAGAATCATGCGCTTGAAGCAACATGGTGTCACAACCTGACTCTGCACACCGGATGTACACATTGTAAGTGCTTCGTGTTAAAAACTGCAAAGCACAAAGGGAAGAGAAATTTATGCGTAGTGTATTATATCTGTGCAACAGTTATTGAGCCTTTCTTTTAACAGTTTTAAATTTCAGTTACTGTGCACGTTAAAAACAATTTATAGTCTTTTCTACGCCTGTGATTTGTTCTCACAGACACCCGGTAGCAAGTAACAAAACGTACTCGGTTACTAACGTAACCTCGGTTCCCTGAGATATCCAGAGTATCCCCGTAACTTCGACACCCAGGGGTCGAGAGCTAACAGGTGAACAATGCCAGAGAACTTGGGCGTGGTTCCAACGGAAGACCATATCCGTTTACGCAGTGCGTGCCTATTTCAAGCGGAAAGGACCCTGGCCTGTAAGGCCGGAACTTCCAGGTTATAAAACCTCACAAATGTGGACGGCGAGGCCCAGCCGGCTGCCTCACAAATATCCGCAATGGACACACCACTGGACCAAGCCCAAGACGAGGCGATGCCTCTAGTCTAGTGGGCCCATACTCCAATGGGGCATTGAAGGCCCAAAGAAGAGTACGCTAGCGAGATGGAGTCTACTATCCATCTAGAGAGTCTTTGCTTCGTAACCGGAAGCCCTTTGGTGCGGTTACCGAAGCTG